TTAATCATTTGAGTTTGGCGGGTAAAACACTGTTGTCAGCCTAGTCCTTCACGGCCAAAGTAGCCGTAGTAGCACCTCGCCGTAGCGTATCTTAAAGTCCCTATTTAGCGGACCCTGCGAACGTGGGAGAGCATACACTAAAGAAGAAGTTTTACAGCACATCGGTTATATTCTATTTTCATGCATTCATAAAGTCATGGAAGAAGTGAATTCGGGTCGTTTAGTAATTTCCAATGAGCAGAACGTAATTCTTCTTACCTTCTACGAAAATGGCATGATTTCTACCAAGAGAGAAATGGGAAGCACAATGAGGGAATGTGCTGCTCAAACTCGATTGTTAGACTCAAGTTAAGGTATGTGGAAAAACATTACGATAATCATGAATAATTCAGTTTTGTAACGAATTAAGGCTTGTATATTTATAAGCTAAGCTTAATCACTTTCCTTCACTACTAATGACGCCTGTCTGCATGAGAACCCGGCATCGATCGCTCGATGATCTTTGACAGCTTTAGTGTTCTTCTTTAATGTTTTAGACATTTCAAGGTTACTTTATATATATATATAAGCTTATAGGAGGCGCAACCTGCTTAACATGTAATCCGTTAAAAATACTGCTCTGGTTGTTGCTAATAGATACATTCCACTGAGTGGTGAGACATAAATTGCATGTATTTAGTTAGACTCTCCCCTCCCTAGCTATTCATTATGTGTTGATAATCACGTGACGAAGCACGAGGAATAAACACATTTCCCTTGTCAGCCATTTTGACTGTGTCTTTACATTACATGGTGTTAGAAAGAGCAGCGATATCCATGCCCAAATAAGCCATCGAGCAAACGCCTGACTGACAACTGTACGCGGAATACCCATCGATTGTATTTACTGCAGGATGGACGTGAAATACAACGACAATGTCGAAATACAAGAGTCCGGAGATATCGTGAACCGTCCAAGATTTACACCAAGAATGGCGTCGCTTTAGCAGACAAGCCATGTGCATCTTCGAAGGTCCGTTGCACGATTAAGACGACAACGTCAAAGTCAGCTAATTAAAGCTGTGGGTAGGCGATAAAGGATTGGACGTATTCGAAGGATTTACATTCGCAAAACCAGAGGATGCTGCGAAATTGACCGTGGTAGTGAAAAAATTCGAAGAATACTGCGCGCCACGAAAAAAACACATCATGGCTGCGTTGAAATTCAGCGAAAGACGTCAGGGAGACAGCGAGGGTTTCGAATAGTTTGTCACAGATCTGAAGATCCTAGTTAAGGATTGTGGCTACCAAGAGGAAGAGCGCATGGTTCGAGACNAGACGTCAGGGAGACAGCGAGGGTTTCGAATAGTTTGTCACAGATCTGAAGATCCTAGTTAAGGATTGTGGCTACCAAGAGGAAGAGCGCATGGTTCGAGACGCGATTGTTTTCCGTTGTTAACACCCTAAAGTGCGCGACGAGTTGACATGCGAAAAGGCCATCGAGATCGGTCGAAACTGCGAAACGAATCTCAGCAGTCTGAAAAAACTCGCCAGCGACGAAGACCCAACCGTGAATGCACTGAATCAGCATGGAATCGTCCGCGTTCAAACAAAAACAAGTTCAAGAGGAAGCCACCCGCAGAAAAGAATGCCGATTCGAAGGATTGCGAATCGAAACTAAAGAAACCGACGAATAAGTGCGGACGGTGTGGTTATGACAAAACACACAAGAAATGTCCGGCAATGGGGCAGCAGTGCGGATACTGCAAGAAGATGTATCATTATGCTAAATTCTGTATGGCCAAGGAAGTCCACAACCTACAAGAAGTAGAAGATTTAGAACAAGAAACCGAGGAGGAGTCGGACTAAGAAGAAGGTGAAGGGGATATGTCTCTATTCTTTTACTCAATTGAATCAAGCTGTGCCGCAGAGGATGAGCCATTTTACGAAGTGGTTGAGGTGGAGGATACCCAAGTTCGTTTCCAGTTGGATAGTGGCGCGAAAGCTAATGTTATGTCTCTGAAGACCTACAGTAACCTCCAGCGTCATCCCTTGCAACTCCTGAAAAAGACACACTGTGTTGGTTTCCTTTTCCAAGCACGAGCTGAAGCCTCGTGGAGTAGTAGTGTTGAGCACAAGATACAAAGATAAAGTCGAAGATGTCAAGTTCTTTGTGGTAGAACCTGAAGTGGAATCAGTGCTTAGTGTAAACACCTGTGTCAAACTTGGCCTACTCAAGAGAGTTCATCAGCTGACAAGCAAAAACCCACCGAAGAGCAGAGTAGAGTTGGACGACTATCCTGAACTGTTTCAAGGACTAGGATGTTTGCCTGGCACCTACCGTATAGAACTAACTGATGGTGCCATCCCTGTTGTTCATCCACCAAGGAAGGTACCAGTACCACAGAGAGAGAACGTCATTGAAGAACTAAAAAGGATGGAAAAACTGGGAGTTATTGTGCGGCAAGAAGAACCAACAGAATGGGTCAACTCGCTTGTAGTAGTTCAGAAGCCGAATGGTGCAGTGAGACTATGCATCGATCCTAGAGATCTAAATGTTGCCATGAAGAGGTCCCATTACTCCATGAAGACAGTTGATGAAGTGGCCAACCGTCTACAGGGTGCCAATACCTTCAGCATTCTAGATGTTAAGAGTGGCTTTTGGCAGCTGAAGTTAAATGAAGAGTCTTCACTTCTCTGTACCTTTAACACCCCAATTGGCCGATACAGGTTCACAAGACTTCCTTTTGGCGTACCGTGTACCCAAGAGATCTTCCAAAGAACCATGGATCAAATGGTTGAAGACCTGGATGGTGTGGAAGTTATAATGGATGATGTAATCATCGCTGGAGATGAATCAACACACGATGAGCGATTGCACGAATTTCTGGAAAGAGCGTCTGCAAAGGGCTTAAAGCTCAACAAGGAGAAATGCAAAATTCGTCAGAAAGAAGTACCTTACGTAGGACACCTCCTTACCGCCGAGGGCCTGAAGATTGATCCCCAGAAGATCAAAGCAATCCATGAAATGCCAAAACCGAAAAACAAAGAAGATGTGAAACGCCTTCTTGGCTTTATTCAGTTTCTGAGTCGTTATCTGCCCAAATTATCCACGGTGGGTGCTCCCTCACGAGAGTTAGAGAAGTCAGATGTATTATTCCATTGGGACTATCTACAGAAAGAGAGCTTCAAGAAGATCAAGCAATTTGTATCACAAGCTCCAGTGCTACAATATTATGATGTCACCAAGCCAGTGACAATCCAGTGCGATGTAAATGGAAAGGGGCTTGGAGCAGTGTTGTTACAAGACAACAAACCCGTGTGTTACGCCTATCGAGCACTCACTGATACAGAGACGAGGTATGCACCCATTGAGTCTGAAATGTTAGCAGTTGTCTTTGCTTGTCGCAAGTTCCACCAGTACATCTATGGCAGGAGTGTTGCAGTCGAGACTGATCAGAAACCACTACAAGCTATCAGTACCAAACCTCTCTCACAAGTACCACTGCGACTTCAGAAAATGATCCTCAATGTGCGTGGGTATAATGTGGAGATACACTACATTCCTGGTTGTAAGCAAGTCTTAACAGACACCTTGAGTCGAGCGTCTGTGCAGAATGATGACAGTGGGGCTTTTGAAGAATTCCAAGAAATAAATGTGGTCCTGTTAGTCTCAGATGAACGATATGAAGAATTCCAGAAGGAAACTAAGAAAGACCCGGAGCTACAAGCAGTTCTTACCATGGTGAAAACTGGATGACCAGACACAAAACCCCAAGTTCCCGTCGAGGCAAGACCCTACTGGACATTCCGGGATGAGGTTACTACAGCAGACGGACTCCTTTTCAAAGGAACATGCCTTATTGTCCCAAAGTTGCTAAGGCCTGAAATGCTCCGTCAGATCCACAAGAGTTATCTTGGAATAGCTAAATGCAGGCAGTTAGCCAAAGAGGTACTATTTTGGCTTGGAATGTCAGTGGAAATTGAGCAAATGGTCACCAATTGTAGTGTGTGTGCTGACTATGGCAAGAAACAACCCTCTGAGCCACTAAAGCCCTCTGTGCCACCATCACTTCCTTGGAAGAAGATAGGAACCGACCTAATTGAATATCGCGGAGAACATTATTTACTCTCTGTGTGCTATCGCAGCAAATTCCTCGACGTTACAAAGATGGAATCTTTAAGAAGTGGAGCTGTGGTAGAGGAGTTGAAAAGGCAGTTTGGGGTCCATGGAATCCCAGCAGAAGTGGTTTCAGATAATGGTCCCCATTTCAGCTGTAGTGAGTTCCAGGAATTTGCCAAAGATTATGGCTTTAAGCATACCACCACATCACCACATTACCCCAAGGCTAATGTAGAAGTGGAGAGAGCTATCCAAACTGTCAAGGAGTTGTGACGAAAGAATGATGACAAGCACTTGGCCTTGCCGGATTATCGAACAACACCATTACCAGACATTGAACTGTCTCCAGCACAATTACTCATGGGTCGTCGACTGAGAAATAAGTTGCCCGTGATGGAATGTCTGCTTCAGCCTGCAAGCAACAACCAGCAAGAAGTCTCCAGGTATCTGGAGAAGACCAAAGAAACCCAGAAGAAATACCATGATCGCCATGCAAGCAAGGACATGAAAGAACTTCAGCCTGGGACCAAAGTTCGATTGCAGCCTTGGACGGACTCCAAAGAATGGAAGCCAGCCACTATGGTCAAACATCACCATACACCAAGATCCTATGTAGTGCAAGCTGAAGACGGCGGAAAGTATCGTCGCAACCGGCAACATCTAAGAGTTTGCCCAGCTCCAGGGCATGGTAGTTTGAATGCAGAACTGTCTTCTGGAGCAGACCAAACTGTAGTCCAGGACAAAGAGCCGCCAAGGGATGAACCTGACCGACCTACAGCTCCCACTGTGTTACAGGATATGCCGTCCCAAGAGCAACACCCAGAAACAGCAAAGGAGAACAGTGCAGGTCCAATTGTCACCCGAAGCGGCAGACGAGTAGTGAGACCTAACCGGCTTGACCTATAGACCAATCTGAGACTGCAAAGACTGTTTTATGTTGTTGAGTTATTTTGCTTTAAACCAGGAACAGTGACATTTAATTTAAGCCGAAATATTGTTTTATTTTATTTTATTCTATTCTATTCTATTTTATTTTATTTTATTTTATTTTGTTTCGTTTCGTTTCGTTTCGTTTCGTTTCGTTTCGTTTTGTTTTGTTTTATTTTATTTTATTTTATTTTTATTTTATTCTTCAAGTTTTATGTTTCGGAAGGGAAGGATGTGACATAAATTGCATGTATTGAGTTAGACTCTCCCCTCCCTAGCTAGTCATTATGTGTTGATATATCACGTGACGAAGCACGAGGAATAAACACATTTCCCTTGTCAGCCATCTTGACTGTCTTTACATTACAAGTGGCAATAAGTTATTTCGCTCATTCGTACACTCTCATTTTTTGATCCAAACAGTTGAATGATTTGCACAGCACCTAGTTTAATTTGAAACACCATTATTAGTCTCCAATAAACCAATACTTAGCATTTTTTTTTTTAACAAAGGGCATTTGAAAAGTTTTCAACAGTGCTCAATGGTCCATGCGAGGAAAACTTCCAGAATTAGTGCACTCCAGCTGGCTGTCCATATTGCTTTCAACATAATATCTTATTATTTTAAGCTTAATTCTCTTAGCATAGTTTGTTTTCTTTTTGTAGCCCCTCATCCTTCTGCCTCAAAGCATAGAGGGGAATAAGATGAGAATTCACCTGGAATGTGATAAGTTTATCACGGCTGTGCAGGATTTAATTTCAATTATACATGAATTTTAAATGTACAATCAAAGAAATTTCCAATGCTTTTAATGAAAGTGTTACAGTACCTCTAAATTGCAGGGACCTACCTTGGTGAAAGAACTGGAAAGTGTTAAGAATGATGCCAGGCAACCAAGAGTCTGGGCTGAGTACCAGTGAATAGCCTGAGTAAATGTTTTGTGTTGTTCTCATTTTTGAACAATAGCTGTTTACTTCTGTAAACTTATATCTCTATCAAATATTCACTGAGTCTGTTTCAGATATTTTTTATTGGATATCCCTTTCAAATACCCTAATCACAGCTTTCATTTCTCTTTGATATATTTAAAATTGCAAGGCCCTCACTCCTTCTAATGCCTAGAAACAGATAGTCTCCTTCGCAGCTTTTATTAGGGTCGTCACGCAAGCATTAGCTGACAACCCCAAAAACGGCTGCGAAGGAGACTAAGGAACAGCCTGAGAAATTTTCCCTTTTCATGCAGAGCTTCCCTGCTGTATGGCCCACCAGAGAGTATGCTTGCCATTTTTAAAACTAATTGTGATGAAAATTGACTGGTTAGGTGTTGAGGAGCTTAAGATACCGCCAGATTAACCTGCAAATAATTTGTTAACAAATGCATAGTAAAAGGTACGTCAATTGTATATGTGCCAAAAGCTAAATGCTTTGCCTGTATGCATTTCTGCCAACCCTTACTTGCTAGCTTGTATCTGATGCTAAGGAGTGATCAAGGGAGCAGGGTTGGCAGAGTGGCAAGAGTGCTCACCTCTGCCAATTTGGTCTCCATTCAAGTCCCTTACCCCAAGTCATATGCATCTTTGAGTTTGTTGTTGTTTCTTCCCTGGCCATTAGGGTTGTTCTCTGGATCGCGGATTGTCTGGTTTTCCTTCCTCCTCAAAAACTAACATTTCAAAATTTCGGTTTAACATCTGGATAGATGACCTACATGAGAACTGATGTGGCTTTCTTTCTAAATATTGGTTTTCTTTAATCTATTGCTTTAATTATTCATTCATTCATCCATCCATCCAGTTATCATCCATCCATCCATCCATCTGTCCAATTCCATTCATTCAAGCAATCAATCAATCAGTCAGTCAATCAATCAGTCAGTCATTTAATCAATCATTTGATTGTTCATTCATTCATTTATTCATTTATTTATTTATTTATCTATCTATGTTTGGAAAACCACACAAACAATATGTTTATAATCATTTCTGTGTGGGTTTGATTCCGTCAAAAACTGATTTTTTTTGTAATGCAAAAGCTTTAATTTCTAAAGATAAATTTACTTGGCACTTAGGTATGATTGATTCAATGGCATTGATTTCTCATATGTTTTTCTATGCTATCAGCATTTTCACTCCTTTGATTACAGTGGCAAAAATGTTCACTGAAATAGCAATAACTGCATGTCCACATAACATCAATTTTTACGTCCATGCAAAACAAACCAAGAAGAAAGAAAGAAAAAAAAAATGAAAATAGGAGGACAAAAAAAGAAGATTCCCGTGGGGATTTTACCCAGCTACCGCATAATACAGCGCATCTTTGGTTGAGAAAAGCTCCCTACTAACTGTATTATTGTAGCTTTGTATCGAAGGAACTCTTTGTTTGATTATTGGAAAATAATCATTTGGATGCCATTTACAAACGATTACTCAGCTTTGAATAAAGTAAATGCATAAACCATGTCGTTCAGCTTTTAGCATTTAAAAGCGTAAATCCGAAAATATCGAGAATCGGCCGACAGAAGCGAAATAACGATTTTTTTCTTATTTCACCAAAAGAACCAATTTGGCTAACTGTTTTCGGAAATGACATCAAAAGGTTCCATTTCCTTTTCTTTTCTTCGAAATTTGCAAAACTTGAAAATTCGGCTACAGGGCCTTCAGCGGCAGCCATGAGGCTTGAAATTTGGCACATGTTTAACATGCTTGTATAGGCGTACCAAACGTTGTCTTAACATGTCCTTTACACAGTATGTGGGGCATCTCTTAAACTTTACTCGGGGCTAAATTTTGTTTAAAAGTTTTGTTTTTTTACAAAATTGTTAACCCTCGGAAGCGTGACAATGTGATCAGCAATTGGTTTTCCTGAGATTTCATTGCCTCTCGTAAAATATTAAGAGGCCTGTTCTATTAGATT